CTTCCAAGAATTCTCTTGCATTTTTGGATTTAGTTTGGTCTAAAATGCTGACAGTTTCCCAGTTAAAACTGTGGCTCAGTCTGTCCATGTATTGTGAGATTAAGGAATTTTCATCATATCTTCTGACTGCTAGTTGGTCCTCGTGGATGCGCTCTGCCAGTCTTCTGCCTGTCTGTCCTACATAGTGGTTGTTACAGTCCTTACACTGTATGTTGTAGATGACTCCTTTTTATGATATGTTTTCACTGTTGTGAGCTGCCCAGATTGCTGCAGCATACAAATGGGAGGGAGGGAGGGAAAGCAAGAAAGCTCTCAGACAGTATCTTGACACCAGGAACAAGTTGTTCTGACAGGATTTTCCAGGTTATGTAGCAAAATTATTGGTCCCTGTGAGTTAGCTGACTAGTACTGCATGCTACATGATGCTGTTGGAGTACAGAGATCAGTCTACCAGACTTGATCTGCTACTCTTGGATTTGCCTACCCTCTTTCTTTCTGAAACGACTAGAAGCTGCACCCCACCCTGCCCCAGGCTACTAAATATATACTTCGAAATATATGATTCTGACCCCAGAAATCAAGTGTTGTTTTAGCCTCCTAAAATGTGACATCTTTTGTATATTTATTTACAGCACAGGCTGAATTCCAGGTCATCAAAGAAGGATCACAGGGGCTAGGGATAGGAATGTTGACAAAATCACCAGGGAGAGGTCAAGATCTAAGGCTGTAACTAGAAAAATTGAGCAGGAACTTAGGTATTAAATGAGGGAAGAGCTCTGAGGCTAAAGCTTGATAGAACATGATAGAAATTGATTAGCTTTGGAGAGGAAACAGAATGGGCACTCTGGCTGGTAGAACCATTGTGATATTGCAGATAAGATGAGACTCAGCTGGTAGGACCCTCAGTTGAAGTGTATTCATGAGTCTGATAGCTCCTGAGAATCCCAAATGCAACTGATAGTTTCTTCTCTGCTAAACTTTGAAAGTTATAACATGAAGTGATTAATCCATTCTTTTTTTTACATTCTAGGGCCACCAGGACCAAAAGGGGATCAAGGCAATGAAGGGATGGAAGGTGAACCTGGCCCGCCTGGTTTACCTGGACTGCAAGGTAGTGTGTTGTTATTCAAAGTGCTTGTGTGAATCCTGTGCTGTTTGTAGGTGGCTGTAGCAGAGACCCAGAATGCAGGGATAAAGCCTAAGCTATTTCAGTCCTTGAGGTTGCTTTGCGCAAGCCCTAAAAGGAAAAAAAAAAAGTCCTAATTTAACTGGCAATGTCTGCTAAAAGAGGATAATAAGATGACAGGAAAGATCCCTCTTTGCTCAAGATTTTATTTATTTATTTATTAAATTTATCCCCGCCCATCTCCTCCCAGTGGGGGACTCTGGGTGGCTCACAACTCATTAAAAACAATAAATAAATATACAATTAAAA